AATGTAACTTTCATTGTTTTAATTGTTGCTTTACTCCTTCAATAAAAAAAAAAACAAAAAAAAAAAATGCAGTTTAGGATAACATTATTGCATTCCATATTATATTTGAAAGACATTTTTGTTTACTTTTGAAGCACTTAAGAACCTTCCTAATGCAAAATCATTGACCAATATCATTCATTTTGGCATAAAGGGCATGTTTTGCTTTTGAACTGCTGATAACTTTGCTGCACAAAGAGTTCAAGTCAAGTCAAGTCTGCTTTATTGTCAATTCTTCCACATGTTCTTCCCTGATGGCAGCAGACTGAAGAAGCTGCGTGTCGGGTGGGTGGGATCACCTGCAATGCAGAGGGCTTTGCGGGTGAGACGGGTGTTGTAAATGTCCTGGAGGGAGGGGAGAGAGGCACCAACGATCTTCTCAGCTGCTCTCACTCAATAAATAATACAGCATTATACCATTGCAGTCTTAATGTTCATTTTAATTTGTGATAAATATAAAAATTACAAATAAAATGAAAAATAAAGATAATAATAAATAGTACGAATAAAACATATTTTGAAATATATTTTAAATAAAATGTTATTATTTTGAAATTTTTATTAAAATACATTTTTTTTTTAAATAAAACATTTAAAACAGTTAAATTAATAATATAGCATAAATACAGCATTATACTGTTGCATAGTCGTAATGATCATTTTTGTGATCAAAGATAATTAAAAAATATTAAGAATAAAACACATATTAAAATATATTTAATATAAAATTTAATTATATTGAAATGTATTACATTTAAAAATGCAGTTCATTGTAATAATAATACATTTCAGAACTTTCTTAATGCAAAATCACTGGCTTCTGAAAAATAAATAATGCAGCATAAATACAGCATTATACCCTTGGAAAGGTTTTTGTGATAAATATAAAAATTATACATAAAATTATAATATAAAATAAAAAAGTAAAAAGAATAAAACATTCAAATATGTTTTATATAAAATATAATTATATTTAAAAAAAAATGCAGCTCATGGCAATATTAATATTTAACTTCTTCATTTGAAGGACATTTTTGTTTACTTTTGAAGCAGTTCAGAACGACTGCTTTAGTGTACAATAAACTTTATTGTAATATTATTGGTTCTACATTCATCGGGTTTGTTAATATAAGAGCATGAGCAGAGGGCAGTGGAGTAAAGGTCAATACAGCCAATGATGTGGCGGCTCTTATCACAGTCTAATTTCCTGTCTAAAAACAACAAACAGTAGGAACTTACCATTAATGTTTTCTGACAGCCAATGACATGCATTTTTATTTCCCTTTACTTACTAAGGTTCAACAGTAATGCTATTTTTAATTGCACACACTATATGGAAACACTATGGAAGTACAATAGTAATGCTATTCTATTCTTTGAAGTATCCCGAATGAACATAATTAATTGTGGTTTATTGCTCACATGTCCGTGTTTATGTATCCTATCATTTGCTTTCATCTGGACAATGCAGTGTTTTACTGTTCGTCATCACACCATAAAACTGATCCGTGAACTTTGAAGCTGGAGATTTCGTATTATTATATTCGTATACACAGCTGGGTCATCAAGTCCTCTGTAGCTGTGCTCGTCACGTACAGTGTGCTTTATGGCGTTTTCACGTGATCACAACACAGGTATCCTTGCTGTCTTCGTGAAATTTGGCAGACAGGCTTCATCATTTCTCCAGCAGCCCTGCAGTCATTCACCGCTCACATGAAGAAACTTGGACAAAAGTTGCATCTCCTCTCCAGCCTCATGAATATTCATGTGAAGTGGGCGTTGACAGGTGACCGCTGGCCTTAAATAGACAGAGCATCTGTACCTCCAGCACCCACCAAAAGAAACTCGGAGGATCAACCTTAATAAGGACTTACCATCTGAACGGGTTCTGCAACGTTTTGCAAGTGAGTAAATGTTTTGCTTATTATTGTTTTGTTTTTTTTTGAATATTCTTTTCTGCTTAGATGCTGTAAAATTTAACATACACTTTAAAAATTATTTTAATTGAAATTGTAATAGACTATTAAAATGCTATGGACAAACCCAGTTATTTATTTATTTACTTTCCAATAATTTCCCTTATTCTATATGGTGAAAGACTTTTTATGCAATTTTACAGTAAAAATACTGATAAATGTATTTTACATTTTTTGAAGTGAAAAAGAACAAGTCACAGCTCACATCTGATAGTTTTCGTTGAAATAATCATGTAAGAATCATGCTGTTAAATGAATAACTAAGGTTGAACCTTCTATATAGTAGTATTTACCAGTGTTATTTTAGTATAATTGAGATACTATTATAGTTTTTCTTAATATTTTAAATCAGTTTTTATATTTTCTGTTTTAGTAATTTTGCTGTGGTTTTGTTGTTTTTATATATGTTTTTAAAAATATTTTAGATATAATTTTTAGTGCTGTCAAATGATTAATCATGATTAATCGCATCCAAAATATCGCGATTAATCGTTTGACAGCACTAATACTTTTATATTATATCTAATATGTAATATTTAAATATAATTTTAGATTTATATTATATATTTTATGTACATAGTTTTTATTCATTTTTATTTTAGGTTTAGTTTGAATCATTTTACTACATCAAGTTCAACTACATTAAACTGAGAAATGTTGCTTTGGAAATTAACTGAAATAAGTTTACTTTATTTCAGTCAACATTTATTTTATGTTACGTAATGATTGTTTTTTTATGGTTTTAATTATAGTTTCAGTTTTAGTTAACTATAACAACCCTGGTATTTATCTCAGCTTTATCTTATCATGTATAATTTGAAAAATATTCGAATTAAATATCCCACTGAAATATGAAAATAAAGTGATTTATGAACCGCATTTTATGTCGTTTTTAGGATAAGACTTATTATCAGCACTATTTGCTACAATGATTTAATTGTCATGTTTTCTTATCCTGACCTTTGATTTCGTTTTTCTTTCACAGACGTAACTACAGCTGAAATGGACACTATGCATGAGCTCATCCCTTTTGCTAAGGAAATGCTGAGTGCCGGTCCCTCCAAGGGCTCTCTGAAGGTCTATCTAGTGGGCGGCACGTTCGCCGTCCTGGGAATGGTGAGCGGCGTGGTCCAGGTGGCCTCTTCCCTTTTCCCTGACCACGAGGAGCCTGACTTTGAGATGCTGAAGGTGCGGGAGCTCATACCGGTGAAGGAGCAGGTCCAGGAGCCACAAACCAGCATCCCTGAAGATGACGAGATGGATGAGGTGATGGAGGCCAAGGCTAAGGAACTGCCGGTGAACAGACAGAGGCGGATGAGTTTCAGAGCTCACGCTTCATAAGGCTCATGCCCTGCTGCTGTTAATGCTACGTGAAGAAAGTTGAGCCAAAATGACCCGCGAGGAACACAGTTATTGTACTGAGAGCTGCAGAGCAGCAGGGAGAGGGAAATAACGACTTGATAGTTTACAACTGTTACGTATGTCTGTTTAGATGGTGTAATGATTTTTTATCAGATGATAATTATTTATAAAGGATGTATAGAAGTCATGTGTAGAGTGTGCTCTCTTTTACTGCCATAAAATAAATACATATTTGCTCACTCTCGGTCACTCCGTTGTAGATTATATTTTGATTCATATTCAGAGTCTTTTCTCATTTGTGCTTATGTGGAATTGATTTTCACATAAAGACAAATCTAATAAATGAAATGTTCTCCGTTTACTTTCTTTCTAAAAAAAAAAAAAAAAGTGAAGTGGTGGTGATTAAAGTACACTACAAATATCTCGTCTGAGTAGGAAAAGACAGAAGTTTAATAAACGTATTATAAACTAATTATAGCTGGACTAGGATTCAGAATTTAACTAGTGATTCCCATTCTTTGTGTGAGAAAAAAATGTTTATTCTTTAAATAATATACACAATGCATTAGTATAAAAAAAGATTACTATTAATTATTACATATCTTAATTCAATAGATTGCGTTTAAATTGCAAACAACAATAATAACTATGTATTTATTTATGTAGAGCTTTTCTAGACACCCATAAAAAAATAAAAAAGATGTGACATTGTTTAAAGATGATCCTATATGCATTTAGCATCCAGAAATAATTATTTTAAGGGAAATATTCTAATTTGAAACTTTTTATGACTTCTCGAGGTCGTGTCTTTTATTTTGAAAGCAAAGCCGGAACCGGAATTGAGGTCCGGGTTCTTTAGGAAGTAAACAAACCCTGGGCAGCTCAGAGTGGGATTTACTGGAGTTAGTGTTGAAATTGTCGTTCATTTTTCGTGTTTCTTACTGTCATCTGATAATGTGAGTACAGTTGTGTGACACACTTTAATTGTCTTTTCTCTTCAACAAACTTCCTCGTTCTGTCGTTTAAACGCTGCTAAGAGACGTCAATTACGCGACATTTCTGACGCATCACGCTGCGGTTCCTTGTCAGACCATATCTCGTCTGATATTTAAAGTACTTAATTTTAAAATTGTCTGTGGTGGATTTGTTACACATTTATCTATCTCTTCATACGTACATATTGAAAAGGCCGTGATTTAAGACTTTCGATATGGTCTCAGATCATACTTGAGAAATGGGTATGAATGGAAACAATTAATCAAACAACCAAAGTATTTTCATTATTGTGGTATTTGCCATGACCGTCATTAAAAAAAATGGAAAAGAAAAGAAATTGAAAGCTACTTGCATCATTTGGATGAGATATCCATTAGTGATTTTACAGTAAAATGTTTCCATGTTCATTCATTATGATTTTACAGTCATAGTAACTTTAATACTTAAGATATTCTAAAAGAAACTATGATTACCATGATAAATTTTTGCTAGGATGAATAAAAGTGGATATGCATGCTTACTGTTAAGTATTAGCATTAAATCTGAAAAAAAAAAGATTATATTGGTAAATATTGAAAAAATGAAAGAAAAAGTCTGTATAAATATAGAAAAATAGCATTATTGTTGTTGTTTTTGTTGTATTGGTCTTGTAACATTATTATGATTATTATATTGAAGTAATTTTGGGTTTAGGCACCACATACAGTGGGTACGGAAAGTATTCAGACCCCCTTCAATCCCCAAATCCAGGTGTGAAAAACTTGTTGCATCTTTCCCAAAAAGACTCATGGCTGTATTAGATCAAAAGGGTGCTTCTACTAAATACTGAGCAAAGGGTCTGAATACTTAGGACCATGTGATATTTCAGTTTTTCTTTTGTAATAAATCTGCAAAAATGTCAACGATTCTGTGTTTTTCTGTCAATATGGGGTGCTGTGTGTACATTAATGAGGAAAAAAAATTAACTTAAATGATTTTAGCAAATGGCTGCAATATAACAAAGAGTGAAAAATTGAAGGGGGTCTGAATACTTTCCGTACCCACTGTACATCAAAAAAGAAAAATGACAAAGAAAAACAGAAAGCTTTTACACTCTTTGAATGTGATTCTATATTTATCTATTATGAACTTACAATAATGTTTGAAGAAATAGTAACGCTAACTGTATACCATGATCATTTCTGCTAGGCTTATGCATTGCATATCACACTCTATGTTTGTGTGTCATATTGAATTGTCGTAACTGTTTGTACGATGTTGTGATTCTTTCAGGTTGCAGTTTTGCGTGTGTGATAGATAAACGTATGTCCTCACCGGGTGTAGTACAGCAGCTCCATCATGTCAAGGAAACAGACAGGGAAGCCCATAAAGGGAAACAGGAAGTATGAATTAGAGAGGAAGAGAGACGAGAGGGCGGCCCGGCGGGCTCTGGCCAAAGACAAGAAGAACAGACCTCCAGGAGGAGACGATGGAGAGGAGTTTGTCAGCTTCTCCAACCAGCTTCAGGCTCTGGGGCTTAAACTGCGAGAGGTGCCTGGAGACGGGTATGTTTGGAGGACTGTTTATTTGACTTTACATTCCGCGACCCACTCAGAACGGTCTTGCAGCCCACTTTTGGGTCGCGACCCACCAGTTGAGAAACACTGATATAGCATATGAGATCTTTAAGGAGTCGAGCTTCTGTTTCTCCTGTTCTCCCGCAGGAACTGTTTGTTCCGGGCTCTTGGAGATCAGCTGGAGGGACATTCGCAAGGTCACCTGCGTCTGCGGCAGGAGACGGTACAGTACATGATGACGCACAGCCAGGACTTCGAGCCCTTCGTTGAAGATGATGTGCCATTCACACAGCATTGTAAGAGAAGTGTGTGTGTGTTGCCATAAATCCAAAATAAACTGAAACTTAAATCAGATTGCATTGCAACTCACATTAACCTCGTAAATTACTGTTAATAGTTAATTAGTAGTGTTTGCTTAGTCAAGCATCACTATTAATATTGCTTATTTATATTTTTAACTTTTGGGGAAAAAAACATTTGTGCTACGGGCATTTGACATGTTTTATTGTTAACTATTGTTAACTTAATTAAATAAGAGTATTTTATTTCAGTTAGTTTCCAAGGCAGCATTTCTCATGTTGTTAGTTTCGGTTGAAGTTAACCAAAAGTAAAAAAAAAACAAACAAATATAACCTTAAATAGACGCATAGTTTTAAAATAATAAAACTGACAAAAACACACATCAAAAGTACTAACACGTAAAGATTAACATAAAAATGGACTATATATAGAAAAAAAACTAATTTAAAATATGACATCAATACTGTATTAATGATACTACAATAACACTGGAGCCTATGAACAACCAGAAAAATATAAAATGTATATATATAAAAAAAAATCTAGTTAGAACTTGCAGTAAAAAAATATAAAATAAATCAAATGAAAATAAATCAAATTAAAAAAACAAACAAGCAAAAAAAAAACGAAACCCTATTTTTATTTCGGTTAGTTTCCAAGGCAGCCTATAAACCACCAGAAAAAAAATTAAATAAATCTAGTTAAAACTTGCAATAAAAAAAATATATAAAATAAATAAATAAAAAAAACCTCAACCTATCTTATTTCTGTTCGTTTCCAAGGCAGCATTTTTAATTTTTGTTTAGTTTTAGTTAAAGTTTGTTGAAAATAACTAAACTAAAACTGAAATAAAAAATAACTAAATAGAAACACACTAATAAATAAAGTGGACAAATAACTAAATAGACACATATTTTTTAAACTAATAAAACTGACTGAGTTAATAAAACTTAAACTAAGATTAAAATAAAAATAGAAAATGTAAAAATAAAAACTAATTCGACATGAAATATGACGTCAGTAATTTAATACTGTATTACTATTAATGATAATACAATAACATTGGAACCAGTAAACAACCAGAGAAAATATAAAATATATAAAACAATGTTAAAATTAAAAAAAATTATAAAATTGTTAAATATATTTATTGTTGTAAAATAAACAAATATAAATTAAGTAAATAAATAAAAGTGTGTGTGTGTATATATATATATATATATGTGTGTGTGTCCTATTATCCAGCTATTCTAAGTCTTTGTCGTTTTTGTTTCTCAGTGTCAAACCTCTCACAGCAGGGTACGTTTGCCGGTAACGACGCCATCGTGGCCTTCGCTCGCAGCCAGCAGTTGAAAGTGGTTATTCATCAGCTGAACGCTTCTTTGTGGGAGGTGATGGAGCATTTAGTTCTCTGATTCATTTCATTCTAATGTGTTTCTATTAATGGTTTAATAATTTTTATTTTTTTTTACATGCAGATTAATGGTACAGAGAAGCCTTCATGCCGTGAGCTACACATCGCATATCGCTATGGAGACCATTATGACAGCGTCCGAAAGACTGGAGACAACTCTGAGAGTCCGGCACATCTGCGTATAGAGGTCTGTCCGGCTAAACAAACATCAGTCACATACATGAACCACAGTCTGACATTTTCTGAAGGCAAGTGTCTTTTTTCTATGGATAGAGTCTGAATAATTCCAGACGCTTTGGAGACGGTCAGAAGGAAAATACGAGAGGCGCCTCTCCCTCACGCTCTCTCTCTGAAGACGAAGAGCTGATCTTGAGCATTCTCTGTACCGACAGTCAGTCAATCTTTAAATCACTGTTTTAATTCTGTTTCCTTCGCTCTCAATGTGCTCCTCTCACCACTCTTTTGTGTCCGCAGGTCAATCGGACAGTCTGTGTCAATCAAGTGCCACATCAAAGACGTACCACAGTGATTGGCTGGAGTCTGAACTAAACAACCAATCATCACAGAGAGATTGTGCTTCAGGGACACACCCTTTATGTCAAGGCATGCAGGCTGAATGTAGTGAAAACACGTCGTCAACAGAGGGCAGCATCTCACATAAACCCAAGGTGACTGAGAAAGTTTTGAATGATAAAATATGTAATATTTAAAAGTCTCAGATGGAAACAGTGTTATTTTAGTATTGTTTAGATACCATTATAGCTTTTAATAATATTTCGATTTTTATTTATATTGTGTTTTTATTGTAACTTTAAAGTTTTAGTAATTTTCTGTTTTTTATACCTTTATATACCTTTATTTAAAAATGTCTGTAGTTTTTATTATTTCAGTTTTAGTTATTTTATTACATCATAGTACATTTTAGTACAGTTAAACTAAATGAAAATGCGAAAACCTTGCCAACTAGCTGAAATAAGTAAAATTGGATTAATTAAAATAAAATAAATGTTAACTGACAAAAAAGTATCCAAAAAACGTAATTTATTTCAGTTAGTTTCTAAGGCAAAATTTTTGTTTAGTTTCAATTGGAGTTTAAAATAACTAAACTGAAACTGAATGAAAAATAATACAAACTAATTTAGATATATAGTTCATTTGGTAACACTTTATTTTAAGGTGTCCTTGTTACACATATTACATGTACTTACTTATTATAATAACAATTATTTGTGCATAATTACATGCAAGTAACCCTAAGCCAAACTCTAATCCTAACCTAACCCTATAGTAAGTACATGTAGTTAATAATTAATATTACTCAGTACTTAAATGCATAATTACACTGTAACAAGGACACCTTAAAATAAAGTGTAACCATTAATTTATTATTAAAATTATTTTTTAATTATGTCTATATAGTTTTTATTGATTTTTATTTCAGTTTTAGTTATTTTAGTACATCAGGTTAAACTAAATGAAAAGTTTAAGTTTTTTATATTTTATTTCGAGTAATGAAAACTTTTTTTTAATAATTTTAGTTAACTATAATAACCCTGGATGGAAAGAACTAATATAATAAAGTTTTCTTGTATTTTTTTTCTTCTGCTTTTTAGCTCTCTAATAAACAAAGGAAAGAGCAACAGCGCCTAGAAAAGAAGAAACGTCAGGAGGAGAGACATAGACAGAAGGTTTTACAGGGCAGAGGGTCACATGATCATAATCAGAACGTACCTGAAGCCGTCACTCTTGTGCCAGCGCTCAACACCCTGAGCATCTAGAGCAAACATGGGAAACCGTTTTAGGTGGTCCGTACACTGTGGAATGATCCAGAAACGTATAATTTAAATGTACAGGGAATGTGTTGTATGATTGAGGGTGCGTTTCTTTAGCATGAGATGATGACAAGATGCGTCAGGCTTGAGATTGCTAGCGGCTGCATTTTTGTACCAGACATAGTCAAACATTAACCCTCATTCATTTCAGTTGACCCATCTGAGCTCAGCCAAAGAACACTTGGAAAGGGAATCAAAATATTGAGAGGAGAAACAGTTTAAGATTAATTATGGACCACTGTTTAAGCCTGTCGGGGTATTTGATTCATTTGTTTAAAACACTTTCGGTTCTGGTTCTACATTCAGTTTCTGCATTCGAATTATCATTGTTTAAATTTAGCGTTTCATTTTCAAACAGTTGGGCAACATCATATTCTGCAGTGGAATTCTATAAATAAACTTTTCAAATGGGATTTAAATTGTGTACTATTAAATATTATTCTCTAAAAGGGCGAAATTGGTCATGAACAGGTAATTTTTCATCTCAAAACAGAAATTATAATTTGCTTAAAGCATAAAAAGCATTTATTAATTAATAAATAAATAAATAAAAAGTAGAAAAGAAGCTATTTTAGGACCATTTAGAATTTGCATTTTGTGACAGCTAAGTCCTTTTATCATTCCTGTGAAGCAAAATATTATTTTAAGAATGTTATCTTCTTTAAATGAATCTTCTTTAACTATAACATCATAAATGACTGTATTACAGTAATGGAAAAATGAGTTGTGTGTTTTTGTAATGTGAATCTAATGACATAAATAGTGGTAATTGCAAGAAGAAAAAAATATATATACTGAACAAAATTATAAACGCAACACTTTTGTTTTTGCCCCCATTTTTCATGAGCTGAACTCAAAGATCTTAGAGTGGCCTTTTATTGTGGCCAGCCTAAGGCACACCTGTGCAATAATCATGCTGTCTAATCAGCATCTTGATATGCCACACCTGTGAGGTGGATGGATTATCTCGGCAAAGGAGAAGTGCTCACTAACACAGATTTAGACAGATTTGTGAACAATATTTGAGAGAAATAGGCCTTTTGTGTACATAGAAAAAGTCTTAGATCTTTGAGTTCAGCTCATGAAAAATGGGGGCAAAAACAAAAGTGTTGCGTTTATCATTTTGCTCAGTGTATATATTAAATAATAAATTATTTCATTCTTATTTAGCAAATAAATATCATCAAATCTAAGCTAAAATATAAAGCATAAATATTACACATTACGCAGAGCTTTAGAAACAAAAGCAGACATGGATTGAAATTGATTTTTTTTGTGTTATTTAATAACTAAAAACTTTTTGAAAACAGTGATGTGTAAGACGTGCAGCCAAGCTGGGAATGAACAAGCACCTTTTCATAATACAGAAAGCCCAACTTGTCATTATGTTGCAACAAACAGACACAAGATATCAGATGCTGAATTTTTTGAATAGCTACAAATTCCTGCATAATGACACTGAAATGGGATGAAAACCATTAAAGACTGTACGAATGAAATGATCTATTCTTAAACACTATTTTAAGACCTTGATCCAGCCTGCGAACATATGTTTGCCTGTTAAGACACAACTACAGAGAAAAACATTCTTCTATGAATGATAAATCCAGTCTACAGTATGCATGCACAGGGAAAAGCTTGACCCACTGAAAGAGTCCCTTTTCTTCAAACAAACCAGCCGTGGCCCTTTTGAACCAGAAAACATCTGCAACTAACATCTGCAAAGTCTTAATACTTAGCCACAGTGATTAAAATCCATGCCAGATTTTCAGAGTTTCACTGCTAACAAAATCTGTAGTTATGGTAACGTGTAACTCAAGCAGGGTTACAATATATGCATTGACCTTAAAGAAAAACCAGTGATGGAAGTAATTCAGATTCCCCCAAAACCGTCTTATTGTTCCCATTTCCAAACTGTATGGAGAAATCTAGAATATACAGTAACCAACTATATCTCTGATAAATATAACTCAAAAAGCATTAGTAGGATATTTACATACTATTGCTTTGGAGATATAACTCTTAATAAAAACTTAAATTTCTAATACGTAAACATTCTGACAATTTAAAGGAATATCATGGGTTCATTTGGAAGAAGTGGTAAAAGAAACTGCACATAAATGTTAAAATACACACAGTTTCGAATATAGCTGCATGATAAAATAGCTAATTTTGTCAAAGTCTCTCTCATGACCATATAAAGTTGGTAAACCCTGTAACTTTCACTCAAAATGCACAAGGATACTAACAATGGACTGTTTAATGTCTTAGACTTCTATTATAAGTGCATTACTGTAATAAAGGAATAATAAAAGGGTATTTGCGACTTTTCCTCTCATAATTCAGACTTCTTTTCTCAGAATTGTGGGATATAAACTGAGAATTGTGAGAAATAAGCTTGCAATTGCAAGAAAAAAAAGCTTTCAATTAACTTTTTTCTGTGGTGGAAACAAACAAAAAACAGAATTATGAGATATAAACTCAGAATTCTGAGAAAAAAAAATCTAATTATACACTCAGAATTGTGTCAAAAAAGAATTGAGTTTATATCTAGCAATTCAGTTTATATCTTGCCATTCTTACTTTTTTCCTTAGAATTATAAGAAACAAAGTCCAAATTGTGAGATATAAACTCGAAATTGTCAGATATGAACTCGCAAAAGGTTGAATTGTGAGATATAAACTCGCAAGAAAAAGTCGCAATTAACTTCATTTTTTATTCCATAGAAGAAACAAACAAAAAAAACATATGCGAGATGTAAACTCAGAATTGTGAGAAACAAAAAGTGAAAATTGAGCTGTGAGAAAAAAAGAATGGCGAGTTTATATCTCGCAATTCTGTTTATATCTTCATAATTCATCATTTAAAAAAAAAAGTCTGAATTGTGAGATAAAAGCTTGCAATAGCAAGAAAAAGTCACAATTATAATTTTTTAATCTGTGGCAAAAAAATTCTTCTGAGAAGAAAAAAAAAACGGCAAGATTTAAACTCAGAATTGTGAGAAAAAAAAAAGAGTTTATTTGGTCCGTGTAACGCTTCACAATTAAATTGTCAGACGATCTGGTGCAAATGCAAAAATTAGAAAAAAAAAAAAAAATCAGTTCATAAATTAATAATTGCCATTTTCTCTCCTTTTTTCAGTTTACTAAATTTTTACTTAAAAAAGAATATGAAAGCAAATTGCGCCAAATTGCACGTTAAGTGTCTGAATATGAACGCAACGCGCAAAATTTCACGTGAAGCGATTTCCTCCCATAGAAAACGCTTCACGTGAAACTTGCGCATTGTGTTCATATTCTGGGCTCTTCTGCTTGTGTGTAAATAAGTAGGCTATGCTTTTTTTAATCACTGTCTTAATGCATTAAGCCATATTAAGCACTTTCAAATAATGGTTTTCAAAGGGAGGAAAACGAAAACTTGAGACTTTGCGTGTCGAGTTCATATTCCGGTCACATCTGCTTCCCAGTAGGCAAGGCAATATAGTTCGCAACATTAATAAGGTGTATACAGAACTTTTATACTTTTACACCATCTTCTTCCATTAAGCCTATGGGAGGATAACAGTTTAGCGTGTAGCGTTCATATTCTCATCTGCTTTCCTGTACCTAGTAACCTATACTTTATTAATACATTGTATTAATACATATACAGAGTTTGGGCTTTTTAATTTATACCACTGTCTTAGTCCACTGAGTCACGTATTTTCTTTAGGTTTTCAGTGGGGCACAAAACACTTAACGTGCAATTTAGCGCAATTTGCTTTCATGTTCTGGGCTATTCTGCTTGTCTGTAAATAGCAGCCTATATGTTTATTATTAATAAGGTGTGTCCTCCAGTGTCACTGTTTTAGTAGGATACATTAAGCCACGTTAAGCGTTTGTGAAACAGTCTGCGGCCACACCCCCGCGCCAATGGTACAGCCCACAGGCAAATTGTAAGATTAAAAAAAATGGGAAAATTGTTTCGATTTTATTTATTCAAATGATCATTTCTGAAGTCACAATTTAGTAAAAGTAAAATTGAAAAAAGGAAAGAAAATGGCAATTGTTCATTTATGAAGTAGTTGAAAAAAATGAATGTTTGGTTTGATTTTTTCATTTTTGCATTTGCTCCATATGGTCTTAAAATTGAACTGTGAAGCATTACACGGACCTTATTTCATGCAATTTTTAGGGAAAAAAGTAAGAATTGGAAGAAACAAAGTCCAAATTGCGAGATATAAACTCTGGTCTGCGGTAATGCACAGCAATCCACATATCTCAGCCGTCAATAGCACTGAACTTGAACCCGAAACATTCCTTTAAAAGTCTGATTCTTCAGAAGGTCACTTTTGAGTTCAGACTCATTTAGTCTCTGTGTTAGAAGCGTGGGTAGGAGCTTGTTTGTCAGTGCATGTTGTGTGGGTGTGTTTAAAGATCACCATCTATGGGTGATGAGTATTCAAACAGCTACAGCGTCCTGGACTCCCCTGTCCTCCCATCTTGTCTATTTGTGGGAAGTTTTTGGTGTTGTTCATTCCACCATCTTTCGTAATTGGCAGAATGGCGCTCCACAGTTCCAGGTCAATGCAGCTGTGTGGTAACACAAACAGAAGGTGCTTATTATAATAAATGTTTGTTTAAAAATTAGTGCAAGGTAAAAATCTTAATAATTTGTTTTTTGTTTGTCCATCCAATGTATGTCATGCAATTCTGTGGTAAAATTTCTCACTTCACCTTTAACCCTAAAAAGCCTACAGTATATTTGATACGCAAATGTCTCAAAATTTTCAATGTCAAAACTTTGCTAACATGTTTATACTTTTTTTGTAAGTAAAAAAAAGGATCACTGTAAGAAAGTCCACCTTCAGGTTGTGGTTCACGTGTCTTTTTGCTGTGAAATATTTACTGATTTTTATAAAGTAAACAATTTTTATATTGTTAGTAATATTTCAGGATGAACACTTACTGGACTGAATTCTCCTATATCATATTATGTGAGTCATAAAAACCTGATGACCTGATGACCTGATAACAACCTCCTCAGACCCAAATATGATAATCAAACAAAAACACATATGCAAACTTTTTGTGTAGATTTTTTAAAGTTTTGTCTATTATTTCTTATGTCAGGTTTTACAGGGTTAAAGGTGTAGTATGTAATATTGACAGCTAGCAGTTGAAATGTGTTCTGCAGTCCAAATTCAAAATATTGATGAGTTGTTTCTCCCGCCCCCTCTTTCGGGTTGCCAGATTGATGACACGCAACAGGAACGATTGCGACAAGCCTTACACTGCAAGTTGATGAGTTGATTTAACCACGTTTTATTATGCCTCTGCTAAAAAAAAAAACCCTGTTTTAGTTGGATGCAGAGGCTTTTTAGGTCGGGTAGAATGGTACTCAAATGGTTCAGGTCATACTTAGAAGGGAGAAAATATGGATATTTATCTTACACTTGTTTAGGCTTGTTTAGCCTGTATGTGCTCCCACTAAGTCAAATAATGAGAAAGAACCAAATTGCCTATCACAGCTATGCTGATGATACCCAGATTTAATGACTACAGCCCCATTGACTCCCTCGGCAAATGCATTGATGAAATTAACAGTTGGATGTGCCAGAACATTCTTCATTTAATCAAGGAGAAAACTGAAGTCATTGCATTTGGGGGGGGGGCTGCTTTGAAAAAAGTAATTTTCAGATGCAACGGGGGAAAAACGGGATAAACACAGTGGACCGGGTCTCCCGCCGAACAGCACGGTGAACGGATGCGCTGTTTCCAATGAATGCAGTAGCTTAGTGTGCGCGTGAGGCGCCGGCGCGATCAAACAGCTGAAACATAAAATAGACTACTCCGTAATTTTTGGTCATACAGTAAAGGCATAATTCGAAACTGCAGTGTTACCAGTTTGAAAATTCAAGAATAATAGCAAAGTTAATAAGAATTCTTTCTAAATGCAGCACCGTTCTTATTTCGCTCTGCATAACCTGAACGAAAAAAACAATTTTTTTTTGCTAAGAACGAACCGAAATGAAAACATTTCGCTTTTAATCTGTGTATTTAACAGCCTGGGAAACCTTCCCAGGGCAGTACCTTGCCTCGCCGACTAAAATCAGGGCGCCCACTACGGAGACGGCACCAGAGGTGAGGGGGCACAGTGACCGAGGTGGCCGGGCCGGGCCCCCTCAGCCTCTCGGATTCATCAAAAAGATCTTAAAGGTGTTGGACCGAGTCCCGAACACACTTGCAGCCAATCAGCAGTAAGGGGCGTGTCTAGTAATGATAGTTAGAAGAGAGCGCTCAGTGAGTGCACAGGACGGCCATTAGCAGATCGACTATAGATAGTGATCATGACAGATAAAAAAAAGTGGAACATTTTGGAGGAACAAAACGTTAAAAAGAACGGTTACGATCAGGCAAGAAGTAGGACCCGCATAAATATCGGAGCAGCTTTCCAGCGGTGGCCTGGAATCGGATACCGAGGTTGCTTTGTTTCTTCTTGATAGGTGAATAATGTTGATTTTGCTTTGTTTCACACAACTTCAGACCCTCGGCTGGCAGATTCTGCCATCATCATTGCCATGGTTGTGTACGTACGTGTGGGGCGGAGATATCAAAATAGGGGCGAGGTCCTGTTGGGGTATGGCCGTGTTTGTTTTGGTGCTTTCAAATGTCAACATCGTCTGGGAAAATTCGCTTAGTGCACCTTTAATTTGTGTTCCGAAGATGAACGAAGGTCTTATGGGTTTGGGACGACATGAGGGCGAGTAATTAATGACAGAATTTTCATTTTTGGGTGAACTATCCCTTTAAGTTGGCAGTGGGCGGAATTACGCAGACCAAAATAAAAACAGATATTCTGACACAGAACACACATTTCAAAGTGGAATAACTAGCTGTATTGTTGATTTCGGAGAAGCAATCATATTAAGGTATATATTTTTGCTTTCATTATTCAAAAAATTAAATACAGCTACTTATTTCATGATATAAAATAACCCATAATCCCCATGTTTCCCTGACAGGCGCCTCACCGGAGCCCATTTAAGCAGTGCAGCAGAGTCCCTCCCCACGGGCTGTCCGGTACACTGGAGAGACGCAGATGCGGGCCCTGGAGGGCACATGGTTGAGGGTGGTGGAGAGCCGGTTGGGTGGTAGATACAGGGTGGAGCGCTGGCTCTGACCTCGCTCCCATGTGACCCAGTAACCACGGAGACCATCGTAACTCCCCTTCCAGCGGAGCTGCACTGACTCATTGCCCACTGTGGTCAGCTGCAGATCTGAGAGAGCTGGCAACACTGAGAGAAACAGAGAGAGAGGTCAGGCTTCCCACTTCTTGCTGGGAATTCGAGGGAGGGGATGTGGGAATGATATTGGCAGGAACATTAAAATAGGGTTGTCCCATTGGAAAGCATCTCATTCCAAATGCTTCTAATGAATTAAAACAAGTTTTAGTTAATACTAATATTTCGTTAATAAATAATTAGTTTGGGGTCAGTTCAATTTTTAAAAAGAAATTAGTACTTTTAATCAGAAAGAATGCATTGAATTGATCAAAAGTGACAGTAAAGGCATTTATAATGTTACTAAAGACTTCTATTTCAAATAAATGCTGCTCTTTTGAACTTTCTATTCATCAAAGAATCCTGAAGAAAAATATATCATGCTCCCACAAAAATATTAAGCAGCACAACAGTTTTTAACTTTGATAATAAGAAATGTTTCTTGAGCAGCAAATCAGCATTTTAGAATGATTTCTGAAGGATCACATAACACATCACAGGAATAAATTACATTTTAAAATAATAGAAAACAGTTATTTGAAATTATAATAATATTTCAAAATTTAACTGCTTTTACTGTATTTGTGATCAAATAAATGCAGCCCTGTTGACTTCTTTCAAAAACATAAAAAAAATAGTACAGGCTGTTTATAGCCTAACTCATAAAATTAATAAAAATTCATAAAAGTGTTATTTGTAATTTGTAAAGATTATCTTAACAAAACTTGTAAAAATTATAATCTTTTGTTGGTCACAGAGCTTATTAACTTCTATTGGTATTTTGTTGAGGGAACCAAAAAGTGATGTTAACTTCTAGGTTGGCCTACAAAAATGAATCAGCAGTCTGCAGAAACCAAATCAACTCATCAAAATGACAAACAAGTAACTAGATATCTCCATTTTCTAAATTAAACTCGGAATGCTTTGGAAATTCTAATTCATTTCCTATATTTAAAAATAAATTTGAATTGTAATATAGTTTGATTTTAAGGAAGCAGAAGTAAATTCATATAACTGCAATGTGTAATTTTACTACAAAAGGAAAGTGCAGTGATTATGAGGTTCTTACCCTCCTGTGTGCAGACTTTAACCGTCATGGCTCTCTCTCTGCCGGAGGACTGTCTCGCGCTCACGGTGACCAGGTACTGCGTGTCGGGCTGGAGGCCGGTCAGGACTGTGGAGTTCTGTCTGTTACTGACGCTGACGACCCGCAGCGGGCCTGTAGGAAGCGCTGAATACTCCAGCTGGTATCCCTGGATGAGGTGAGGCAGCAGCGGACCCCAGCTCACACGCACACTGTTAGTGCTGGACTCTGACACGGTCACTGTCGACAGAGTCTGCACCTCCGGCTGAGGAAGATTCACTGGCGGTGAAGACATGAGAGAGGAGAACATCTCAATGTTTGAACAAGGTTTTTATTTAGTTCTAGTTAAGTTTATATGCCTTCTGTGTCCCTTGGCATGTTTAAAGTCAACATCCCGTTTTACTAATAAAATAAGGGGGATAATATGCACCCATTCTTATTCAGTAAATGTGCAGTGGATACCAGTTTATATATATATATTTATATACAGTGGGTACGGAAAGTATTCAGACCCCCTTCAATTTTTGATTCTTGATTCTTAATTGTCATTATTGTAATAGAGTTAACATTACATTTTCATTTTACAAAAATATATTAAATATTTAATATCAAGTTAACATTAATTAAATATGAGCATTAAATTATTATTTGTATTATTACATTTAATGTTCATTTAATGAATGCTATTTAATGCCAAGAATAATAATAATAATATTAACAACAACAAATTTTAATATTCATATTTAATTAATGGTATTTAATTAATGCTACTAATAATAACAGTAATAATAATAATATAACTATTAATAATAATAACAACAACAACAATAATGTTCATATTTACTTAATGCCAATTAATGTTAATAATAATAATAATATTATTAAATGGTCATAAAAATCACTTTCCTTATGTGAAGTATAATTTGTTTTATTATTTTTATTATTATTACTACTATACATTTAATTTTCTTTAATTTATGTTATTTAATGCTAATAATGCTAATATTATTATTAATAATTATCATTATATTTATTTAACGTTAATAATAATAATGAATTGAATATTCATATTTAATGATACTACTACTAATAATAATAAAAATTACTATTATTATTACATTTACATTTAGTCATTTAGCAGACGCTTTTATCCAAAGCGACTTACAAATGAGGACAATAGAAGCAATCAAAATCAACAAAAGAGCAATGATATACAAGTGCTATGACATTAACAATAACAATATTAAGCTAATATAAGCTAATATAATTAATATAATATTAAGCAATATAATATATAAGCAATAATAATAATAATAATTAATATTATTATTATTATAAGCATAAATGAAACAAGGTGCACCAAAAAAGTAATTGTGATTTTAAAAAAAAAATATTATGCAAAATATAGAATTTTTTCTTCTGCTTTTGATTTTTGGATGAAATCTTATCTGGATATATTATTGAGAGATCTGCACCTGGCTGGGTAGTGAAGGTGGTGTGAAGAGAGTTGAGGAACTCCAGGTTGGCCTTCGGTGTGAGCGTGACTGTGTACGTGGTGTCTGGACGCAGGTCAGTCAGCTTCGCAGAGCTGGCATCTCCGGGCCGCGTGATCCTCTGAAAAGGACCCAAACCTGTGCCAGGACTGGTGCCTGGACCTCCCGGCCCTCCGGTCTGCCCTGATCGGATGGGACCAAACTGGATATCATAGTAGCCGGTGCCGGCCAACACAGGCCTCCATTCCAGCTGAGCTGTAGTGGTGGTGACCGACTTCACCTGTAGCCTCTCGGCCCGGATAATCTCTGCGTTTAATCAGAGAGAAATAAGAGGTGGCCGAAATTAAATTAATCACTTCAGTCACTAAATCCATGCCTAGGGCAGTTTCTAAAAGGACATGACACCACCTGCTCTGAATTATTGCGTGCGAGCTTTGCAGTTTTTTATGTGTTAAGTGTTTGGAAGTTGCACATTATTATTAAAATAATAATAATTATAATATGAATTTTTAATTAATGATATCTAAATAATGCTAATGATAATAATAACAATACATTTGATGTTCATATTTAATTAATACTAATTAATAAATACATTACTACCACTACTACTAATTATTATTATTATTATAAGCATAAATTAAACGCTAAAGGCACAAAAAAAAAGTTATGGTCATAAACAAATTATTTTCATTATGTGAAGTGTACTTTTTTATTATTTCTTATTTTTTATTATTATTGTTCGTATATTTAATGTTCATTTAATGAATGCTATTTAATGCTAATGGTAATATTAATTCCCAAAAAAATTTATAATACTACTAATAATAAATAATACATTTAATTATCATAATTAATGCTTATAATAACAATAGTTATTAAAATTATTTAAAAAACAATACATTTAATGATCATATTTATTAAATAATAATAACAATAATATTTATTCTAAGCATAAATTAAACATTTAAGACACAACATAAAAAGTAATAGTCAAAAATCTATTTAATTATGTGAAGTGTAGTTACTTAGTTTATTATTTTTATTATTATGAATACATTTAATGTTCATTTAATGAATGCTATTTAATGCTAATAATAAAACTAATTATTACAAATATTAGTAAATATAATAACCATATTTACAACATATCTAATTAATGCAAGTAATACTAATAATAATACATTTAATGTTCATATTTGATGCTAATTAATAATAATACTATAATCCTTACAAGCACAAATTAACTGTTAAAGACACAACAACAACAAAAAAACAAGTAATGGTCATAAAAATCATTTTTGTTATGCAAAGCGTAATTTCCGGAATAATCTCTGCATTTGATTTGAGAGAAATAAGAGATGGCTGAAATTAAATGAGTGACTCAAGTCACTAAATCCATGCCTAGGGCAGTTTCTAAAAGGACATGGCACCACCTGCTCTGAATTACTGCGTGCGATCTATGCGTTTGTTTATGTAAGTGTCTGGAAGTTGCACATATGTAACGCCTTATATATGTGCGGAAGAATGCCCACTAATAATAGCAACGTCTAGTGCTCCGGGGGACTTTGCCGGGGGTCCAAAAGGCCAAAATAATTTCTGTATAAATAGCCCTCATCTCCCATTACAGTGTCTGCAGGTTCCTCCAGGCCCTTCTTCTCTTTGAGCTGTCTCAAGCTATTTGTGTCTGCGTTGACTGGCGTTCGAGATTCCTTCGGCACACTGGGGCGGAGGTACGGAAATATTCACACTCACATCAGATCACTTTCCCTGTTTAGAAAACGCTCTCATAAGATTGACTGTTACTTTGAATGAAATATGAAATCAGGGTCTGTTTGTAAAGTGTCAAGAATTTTGTGTTTTCATTTGAGTTGGATTAAAGCAATAATTCTTATTTTTTCTTTATAATTTCATTCCAAACTTCTCATTTCTACAAGTATGTTTTTTTTATGATTTATGAAATTTTCAGTAAATAACTATTTATATTCCAGTATGTTCCTCACATAAATAGTACAATTTCAGAAGAATATATACAGCAGTCGAATTGACTACTTTTATGGTGTTTTTTTACGAATTGACTACTTTTATGGTGTTTTATGGTTATTTTATTTCACATTTACTTTAACAATGAATATGTTTTGAGTCCTAACATTTCACCTTTAAGTTTGTTTGAAAGTTTCATTATATGTATTTATTCATTTTGTTTTGGTTATTTTTCACTTCTTTCAGTAAATAGAAATGATATTCAATAATTTGTAGTTCTCATTAGATTCTTACTGTTGTAAGAAAATACTTAAAATTCCATTTTAATATTATAAAAAATATATTAATATATTAAGGGCCTGTTTTACTAACAGCTTGCACCAGCGCAAACGTCTTTTGGCATTAAAATAGTACTGTCAGGTTTTACTAAAGACGCGCAGTGAAGAATTAGCGCTGAAAAGGCATGGACACAGTTATTTTTTGTGCCTGACCTTATTGAATATGCATTTGTAGGAGTTTCCCTTTCAGACGCAAAATGCATGGGAGGAGAGTATTAAAATGAATCACGCAACGCGATTTACTGTTTGTGCTCGTCAAATTACTATTATTAAACTATTTTGCACTTGAAATGGCTGAAATTATTATTATTATACTTTTTTTTTTTTTATTGCTTAATGTACATAACAAGACAGGGAACAAAATTATTGTTATTAGGAGGATGCACCGCAGAGAACAGAGAGCGCGTGGTAGAAGGGAGAGGATTTTTTTCCACACGTATTAATTTATAATAAATATTACTATTATAGTAATAACAATAAATGATTTATTTATTTTAATTTTAATTTATTATTATTTTTGTACTTATTTTTTGCTTCTTTGGAGCTTGGTCCATGGTCAATATTTACTTTTGTAGTATGGAAAATATCATCATGGATTTCTGAACATCTGCCTTTGTGTTCAATAGAAGAAAAAGCCATACAGGTTTGTAATGTATTGAGGGTACGTGATAACAAAATGTAGTTTTTTTTCCCCCCAGTTTTGAGACATTTGATAAAAAAACACACCAATAATTGCGTTCCTCAAGTCTTCGCTGATGATGTTGATATCATCAATGTCCACAAAGAACAGGTGCTCCTCGGCGGGTGGACTCACAGCCTCTCTCAGCACTTGATAGTTCCCGTGACCAGTGGAAACCACCAGGACGGCCACGCCCTCTTCCCGCAGCCTCGCCATTGGTTCCTGCACCTCGCCGGGATCCACTCCATCCGTGAGCCACACCAGAACCCTGGGCAGATCTGGTCTGGCACCTCCCGGCACGCCCTGTTTCAAAACCTGGTTCCTAGCCATCAGGAGAGCATCCACCGTGTTTGTGTCGCCCTTCAGCTGTTTAGTCCTCCCCAGGGCCGCCTGCAGTCCGTCCTGGGAGCTGTAGGTGTCAAAGCTGAACTCCAGATGGGGTTCGGTCCCAACCTGCAGCAGTCCCACCCTCACCTGATCCGGCCCCAACGAGAAAGGCAGCAGGAGCTCCTTGAGGAAGTCCACCATACGGAAGAACTCGTAGGAGGCCACGCTACCAGAGGAGTCCAGGAGGAAGAGGACATCGCCCTCGCAGCAGTTTAAAACTGTAGGTGAAAAACAACAGTAGACATTTAAGGAAATGATCTATGCTTTAACATCTCAAGAGGGGGGAGATGAGTGTTTATTTAGCACATAGCAGCACTAAAACACTCCAGACTTTCCAAGGCATGAGGAGAACTCTGTGTGAGTACATATACAAGCTTTGGTTGTACGCTCTTAAAAATAAAGGTTCTTTATTGGCATCTATGGGTCCATGAAGAACCTTTAACATAAATGGAACCTTTTCATTCCTTTGTAAAAATGGTTCTTTTAAGAACTGTTCACTGAAAGGTTTTTTAAGGAGCCAAATATGTTTTTTTCTATGGCATCACTGCAAAAACCCACAACTGAAACCTTAATTTAAAAGATTGCATAATCGTTTATTGTGCCAGCTGTAAATCGTAAGTTTGATTGGTTAAGAAAAGCCACATGATTTTATCCTTTAATTTATCCTTAATTTATAAGATTGCATATGCCCATGGGACTTTTGCCCTTTTTAAATCCTAAGTTTGATTAGTTAAGAAAAGCCACATGATTTTATCTGTCATTCATGCATAAACAAGCCCCAGGTTTAATATTTAAAGGCCTGGTTCAACCAGATATTAAACTTCTGTTATCATTAACTCACCCTCAGGATACTGAAAGAATGTTTGAGCTGTTTTGGGGTTTTGAACAACATTGATTTTCATTGTATGGAAAGAAGAACACTGAGACCACAAAACATTAAGAAATAAAGTCATAAAGGTTCTGAACGATATGAGGGTGAGTAGATGATGACAGAAGATGTTTTTATTTGTTTTTTTTTTTTTGAGGGGGGGTGAACTGTGCCTTTAAGAGGGTTTGATAGTCTTGTAGGGCTGCATGATTACTCTGATTAATTAAAGAAATATTAATTTATTTAGAAATAGAAATAATATAAATAAAAGAATAATAATATGAAATATAAAAAACGCAATTAATTTGCAACAAAATAATTTATTATTATTATTAATTAAATATGAAATATATGTATATATTTATTAAGTTTTAATATTGAATTAATAACAATAATTTTGTTGTGAATGCATGTTTTTATAAAGTGAATATTTAATTATAATAATATTTCTTATTTTGTTAATAATATTTACTAAATAAAAATGTTTTAAATACTAATATATTATTTAGTAATAATAAAAAAATATTCTTGTCATTATTTTATAGTCATATTGATATATAATCAGTGCATTTTTGGCCAAATTGTGCAGACAAGCACAGCAAACCTGGAGGTTTTTTTTTTAATTCGCATTTTAAATTGCAATCGCAACTTTTATCAGATATTTTATCAGATCCCCCCCCCCCCAAATTGTGCAGC